GTGGATTAAGATCAATATGGATGGTGCTGTTAGAGGAAATCCTAGACTTACAGCTTGCAAAAGCATACTGAGGTATTCATAAGGCGAATGGTTGGTCGGTTTTGCTAATAGAATTGGCTACTACACACCCCTTATAACAAAATTTAGGGTATCTTAAGCGGTTTAGAATGTGCTTGGAATGAAGACTAGAGAAATGTGATTTTGGAAAGTGATTCAACAAGTGCAATCATATGTATGGGGCTTAACTTTTCATGTTTGAAAAAAAAAATCTTAATATGCACACACAATTAATAGGTCGATTTTGTCACAATTACTCAAACAAGGACTAGTGAGTCATTGTTTAAGATTATGACTCGAATGGTTGGTCGATTTAGCTAATAGTATTGACCATTACTCACTCCTTATAACAAAATTTGAGGTATCTTAAGAGGCTTAAAATGTGCTTGGAATGGAGCCTAGATAAATGTGATTTTGAAAAGTGATTCAACAAGTGCAATCATATGTATGGGGCTTCACATTTCATGCTTGAAAAAAAAATCTTAATATGCACACACAATTAATAGGTCAATTTTGTCACAAATACTCAAACAACGACTAGTGAGTCATTGTGCAAGATTATGACTCTAAATCGTTGGTCGATTTTGCTAATAGAATTGACCACTACTCACCCCTTATAACAAAATTTGGGGTATCTTAAATGGCTTAGAATGTGTTTGGAATGGAGGCTAGAGAAATGCGATTTTGAAAAATGATTCAACAAGTACAATCACTATGTTTGGGGGAAAAAAATCGTAATATGCACACACAATTAATAGGTCGATTTCGTGACAAATACTCAAACAACGACTAGTAAGTCATTGTTCAAGATTATGACTCTTGGATTTTAGCAAGATTATAAAGCTTTCATGCAATTGGCTTCAAAAGTTTATAAGTTGGTCAAAAAAAAATGGGGGGCCGTCATCGTTAACTCCTGCAACTAGGGCTATTGTTTTGCAAAATCTGTTTTTCAATGACAATATGATTAGCAAAGAAGGTCATGATTCTCCATTTCTTTAAACAAAAGTCATGCTAGATTTGGTTCCCCCTTTCGCTAACTCATTCCACTCGTAATTGTAACTTTCCCTACAAACTTGAATTTATTGAAAACATTTTTTTTAAGATAAATCACCATATTAATGTGTTTCACGATTCTTAAAACAAAGTGTAAAGAAACCCGAAAGCTTAAGTAATTTGGTAATAGCGTTTTTAATAGTTTATATTATTATGTAACATAAAGCTATGAGAGTTGACTCGTTTAAGTGTTTTGATTAAGGTTTTGGAATCTCAGCGTAGTTAGTTGTGTAGTTTGGAAGTTCATTCTTTTCTAAAAGTTAATATCCTAACCGTAGTTTTTGTGTGAAATGGTCATTTAAATGAGTACCCTAATAACAATCCTCAACACAGACTCTCCAAAATCTTAAATATGTTGCTGGTCCTCTTGACTAATAATATTGAAACATCCTATTCTTACCATTATATATAAAAAGGCAAAAGAGAAAAAATAACTGTACGTTGCGAAACCTTTAAAAACAAAGAGAATCAATCTATTGTCCCACTGGTATTATTACCATTCCAACTCTTTGTCCTTTCTCTGTCAGTAATTAAGTTCTTTGAGTTTGCTCTCTCTCACAAGCTTTGAACATTATAGTACATCATTCGGACAGAAGAGGAAACAAAATTAAAAAAAGAAACTTACCAAATATAAGAATTTAACTACCAAAAGCTTGGACTTGGGCATAGCAGAGTTTAAGGAGGCGTTTGGTAGAGGAAAATTTTTTTTTTATCCGAGAATCTCGATTTTTAAAAATATGATTTTTATATTCAGTTTACGATAATATTCAAAAATTTAAAACTTAAAAAAATTCAATTTTTTGAGAATCCTACAAAATGATGCGTACCAAATACGTGATTACTATTCTCACCTACTACTTATATGAAAAAGATTATACTACGAGAAAAAAAGTTAAAAAATAATGATAGTACAACATTATTATTTATATAAGGTTACGTTTATTAGAACCTAACAAGTATTTTTCTGTTGTACGTTGAATTGGAAGCATGCCTAAAGAGTAAGGGTGCCTAAGGATGAAAGGTGTGCATGAGTCAAATTGAACTGAATTTTTTAAAGAACCGAGCTGAATTGATTTAAATAATTCAGTTCGATTCTATTCAGAACTAATTCGGATCGATCCTATTCTAAAAAAAAATAAAAATAAAGAAATAAAGTAATAAAAATCAGTTCGGTTCGGTTCAAAAATGATTCGGTTCGAAAATAGTTCGGTTCAATTCAAAAACGATTCGATTCTTGAACTGGAGTTAAAAATTAATTCGGTTCATGAATTGGTTCTTAAAAATCAGTTCAGTTCATAAACTGACAATTATTTTAAGTATGGTTCAGTTCAGTTCGATTCAATTTTATGATTTTTTTTTGCTCATCCCTTATAAACAACATGTACAGACTAGTTCCAACTTCCTGAGCTATTCAATTTCGCACCACAGATGTAAATGTTATACAATTTGAAATCTTTGCCTACTTTGGCTACAACTTAATTTGCCCCTAACGGGCGCAAATCCTCAACTTAATTCGGTTGTTTAATATTGATGTGCTATAATGAAGCCCATACAATTATAGACAAGCTTTGATTATCTCAATGTGATTGTCTGCTTCTAATGGAACCAGAGGCCATTATCCCAATAAGAGTCCCAAACTTCAATAACGGCGACCCAGTACTAGAGTGGCCGCTGCAGGTATAAACAATGCGAAGGAGGCATTCAATATACTTATAATAAAATAAGAAAAAATAAATAAAATAAAAACCAAAGTGGAAGAAAACTTGTCGTAATACTTAAATTTCAGCGCTTTTTTCATTTCCGTTATCCCAAGTCTGTGCCAGTTTCCGTTATCTTTCTATTCTTCTATTCCCACACGGCCACACCCTTTGTTGTTCCACTTCAAACTCCCATGACAGAACATTTTTTAATTTTTTGTCTTCCCTATTATCCCTTCTGCTACTCTCCACTTCTGTTTAGTGAATGAAGTAAAAAAGGGAAAATCCTAAACAAGGGGAAAGTCTCGATTGAATTAAAATTGATAATTCGAGTTCACTATTCCACTGTGACATAAGAAATTAAATTAAAATGATAAATAAATCAATAAAGGAAGGGCTTCTCTTGAATCTCCTCCCTTACATTGGAAAGTAGCGTTTACTGTTTGATGGTACTTGGGTTTACTGTTTTATTGAAACTTCAACCTGACGAGGCAATGCTGCAGCTAAGTAATGGTTGCTTTGATTTCAAGAAGGGACAATGCTGGCAAGGATTCGCAGTTACGGACTTTTTTTTTTCAAGGAGTACTTCCTTTTTTTTTTTATAGAAGCTCTGATTTTTTCATTTTTTTTAACATTTTAATCGGTTCAATTTAAAATAAATTTCGGGATTAAGATTTTAAACTCTTTTCAAAGGAACTGAGAATGATCGAAACCATAAGCAGTTTTTAAACACTCAAGTCTCTTCCGTTAATACTTCTCCAGTCACTTGTGGGATATGTGCAAGTGTTCATTCTACAGAAGAATGTGATGTCAGGACGACACCTGAGAATGCTGAAGTCAACGGACTCATTCTCACCTACTCATTTTCTTAACGCCAACTAAACTATCATTATTTAATTGATTTTGTTTATATTTTCCTTTAAAACGCAATGGGTATTGGTATTAGTACTAGTCAAAAAGTTATCCAAGCAAAAGCTTTTATTGGAAAATGACTTGACTTGATTAGCAACTAACCAACTCCAATTGGGTTGGTTCATAAAAAACAGGGGAAAAAAACATATTTTTTTTAAAATCCAACTGAATATACTGTCATTATTTTATTTGAGTTTTTAATACACTTTCACCGTGTTTACTTGAAATTGCCAAAACAATATATACAGGGAAAAATGAAATAAAAAAAAAAAAAAAACCCTATTAAGGTGTAGATTTTGAAGCCTTATCTCATGACAATAGTCACCTCCAGACTGATGGAGTAGAAACAACTCGATACTCATACCAACAAAATTACTGAAATGCAATCATATATCGTTCCAACTCCTAATTAAAGCACTTCTTAGCTTTGAGAGTCTATAATATCACATAGCATCTCTTTAGGGAGTGGGGAGAGCCATAATATTGGCCTTGAGAGTAGAAATTACTCAATCAAAAATATCAACTTCATACCACAAAAATAAAATTCCAATTTAAAGCAGGACGGCAAATTGTAATTATTACTATAAGCTCAAGTACATTAAAGAGAAAGAAAATGAAGAATGTTACCCACGCCGGTCCTGTTTTGTTTTGTTTTTTTTTTTTTTTTTTTTTTGAATTCTCAGTATGCCCAAACAAAAACAAATGTCCACGCTCTCTCAATGGAAGCAAGAGTTTTCACATGTACCAATCTCTACCAAACAACTAATTTGTAACATTCAAATTTTCAACTAATAACAGCAACGCTCCTTTTGCTTTTAAATTTATTTTGAAGTATTGTGATTGTGATGGACATATCTTATTTCAAATGATATTAGAGTACCCTTCCTCCTAAGTCCTAACGCCAGGGTAGGGGACTAGGGGTGCGGTTGGTAACTTGGTAGCAAGGCTGCATTGAATATAATATTAAACAGCTAAATGAAAACCATTTATGAATGTTAAAACTTAACCCATAATTAAACCCTTAAGTTAATATTAAGAATTAAAAAAAAAAAAAAAAAAAAAAAAAACGATTGTGTGAGTTACATCAAACATAAACACCAAAACTCTAATCGTGTGTGGACCAAAGTGACTTTGCCTTGTTTCATGAAATTGTGTTTTACCTAACTAAATAAGATTTGTTTTTTCATGAGAGAACGAGACAGAATTCACGTGGGCAATTAGGAAAACTTCAGAAGGGCAGAAGAGAACCATGATTTCGTAACGCATACGGAGTAAAGAGAAAATAACTCCCATTTATTATCGCGCCATAGCAATGACTCTCCCACCAGTCCACCACTGTCTCTACTTTCTCTCTTCTCGTTCCTCACAGCAAGAAAATTCTAGAGAGAGAGAGAGAAACACTACGTGTTACATGTAATGGCGAGTAAGTGGGTGAAGTCATTGCAATGCAAGTCAAGAGCATTTGAAGACGTGTACCACCCAAACCCCAAAATCCTTATGCCCAGTGTCAGTTGTAGAAAAAGCGTCCAAAACATCAAAGACATGGTTGACATACCCAAACCCAAGCCCAGAAAACCAAAACCTAAGCCAGCCTTGGAAAAACAACCTAGTTCTAAATACCCAACAACAGCAACAACAACAACAACAACAACCAAATCCGAATTCGAACCCACCATGAAAACCTCTCGAAGAAGTTCTTCCACTAACACCTCTTCGCGTTCCATCACGGAGCTTCCCGTGGGGCACCCTTCTCGCAACGTCGTCGAGATTATCTTCCACACCAGCTGGGGACCCAAGCCATTTCCGGGTCGGGTCGAGATTATATTCAAGGTTCAAAACGGGACCCGGACCGTGTCACGATTCGAGGAGTTTCGCGAGGCGGTGAAGGGACGCGCCGCCGCTTCCGTGGCTCTGGCGGAAGGGACCAACTGGGAGGAGAATGCGCGGTGTGTTGCCGATGGGAACGAGGTGATGCGGTTTCACTGCTTGGGGCCCGCCGCGGACGGTGGTCCCTACGACGGTGGCTTTGCATGGTCGTTTCCGGAGAGGAAGGGGTCGGCGATCTGCACGTTCGCCGGCAGCGGTGGCGCTCACGAGACTGCCGGCGGAGGCAGGGGGAGAAGGGCCATGCTGGTGTGCAGGGTCATAGCGGGTCGGGTATCGAAGCAACTCGGGTTTTTGGACTCGTTGTTAGACAAGCGAGTGGGGTTCGACTCGGTGAGTGGGGACAATGGCGAGTTGTTAGTGTTTGACTCGCGTGCGGTGTTGCCCTGTTTTCTTATTATTTACGAGTTGTAAAAAAATGAAAAGAAAAATTATTTACCTTTCTTTTAATTGTTTTTGTTTTTTTAACTTCCTTGATTTATTTTCATTGGAGATGTATTTGCGTATGTACTTGATTCTTGAGATCTTAAAGTCGCACTTATCAGCTTGCATTTATCGACTCAATTTTTTCTGTTTTGGTTAATGCTTAAATACGTTGTGTTGTTATGAGGAAATTGAGTTGATAAATGCTCTACTGAAAATTTGAACTTTTCATTTGTTTCCTTGGTTGCCTCCATATTTTTGTACAGAGTAAGTTAATAATATTGAGTGTGAATCAAATGATTTTTGCGTTCAGTTCTTCTAAATCGTTATTAGAGTGTAGCATACAAAAAATAAAATAATAATAATAATTAATATCAACAACATCTTTATCTCAAATTAATTTAGATCTATGGGAGATGAACTCAATATTTCTGCAATTAATGCGATAAGTTATCTGCATTTATTTTTAAAACGACGTCGTTTTGGGATTGAAAGATTAGAAAATTATAATTATAAAGACTATAATAACCGTGAAATAAATTAAAATTACAAAAATATTTCTGCCCCAAAACGACATCGTATTGGGCTTACTGCAGATAACTTATCTGCTTTTAACTACAGAAAAAGCAAACTCTCTCTCTCTCTCTCTATATATATATAGGGTCTTATTAATCTCATTTCACATAAGATAGTTATCTTATGTTGTAGAAAAAAATAGGTGGGTCCCACCATTACTAGAAAAAAGAAAAAAAAAAGAAAAAGGTGGGGTACGAAAATCAAAATGAGAGAAGATATCTTATGTAAAAGAAGAGTAAAATTTTCCATATATATATACGTTCATTTTTTCTGTAACAACATTTTTATCCCAAATTAATTTATATCTATGGCAAATGAACTCAAACGAATGGTTCGAAAAGATTGAGAGAAACGGATAAAAATAACATTTAAGTATATATATATATATATATATATATATATATATATATATATATATATATATTCATTTTTTCTGTCGTGACTACAGATAAATTATCTGCATTGAGCCCAAAACAATATTGTTTTGGAGAGAAAATCAATGTGTTTTGTAATTTTAATTTATTTCAAGGTTATAATATTTTTTATAATCATAATTTTTTAATCTTTCAACCCTAAACGACATAACTTTAAAAGTAAATGTAGATAATTTATTTGCAATTATTATAGAAATCTCTCTCTCTCTCTCTCTATATATATATATATATATATATATATATATATATATATATATATATATATATATATATATAACATTATCCAAAAAAAAAGCAAAGCACAATTAAAAGAGAAAATAAATAAATAAAAAATATATAGGAAGACAGAAAAAATAAGAAAATAAGAAATAGAAATAGAAATATAAAGGAATATAAGGAAAAAAGAAAAAGAAAAACACATAAATAAATAGGTAAGAGAAAAAAAGATTGAAATGAAAATAAAATAAAACAAAAAAAGGAGAGAGAAGGAGATAAGGAGGAAAAGGATTAAAAAAAGTATTATCTGAAATATAGGAATAAAAATGGGTCTAATTCTTCACCATGCTTTTAGCTTTTTTTCCCTCCATCCTAAGACATACAATATGTCAATCTATATCTCATTCAATTAAGTTTTGTTTTACTATCTTCCCGAAACCTCTTCCTCTTTTTGTGTCAAGCTCTTGGTAAAAAAAAATTGTTCTTAGAGGAGTATCCAATGACCTTTTCATTACGTGCCAAAATCACTTTAATCTATGTTCTCTCCTCTTTTCCGTCATTGGTACTACTCCCATCTTTCGTTAAATATCTTCATTTCTTATCTTGTTCATTCTCGTATAACCACATATCCACCTTAACATCCTCATTTTCGCTACTTCCTTTTTATACTCATGTTGCCACTTGCCAATGTGCTGGCCAACATTCAGCTCCATATAACATTACAGGCCTTATTATTGTTCTATAGAATTTTCCTTTTAGCTTAAGGGAAATTTTATGGTCACACACAAAAACCCAGATGCATTATGTTATTTAATCCACCCTGCTCTGATTCTATGATTTACATCATCATCAATCTCTTCACCTTTTTGCAAAATTGATCCTAAATATCTAAAAGCATATTTCTTAAGTAGCTCTTATCCAAGCAGATGCACAGAATATTGATATTTATTTCTTACCAGAAAAAACTCACTTTATATACTCAGTCTTGCTCCAGCTTAACGTAAATCCTTTAGACTCTAACATGCTTCTCCACAATTCTAGTTTTTAATTAACATCAGTCTTGGTGTTACAATAAACACAATATCATCTGCAAAAAGCATAGATCGTGACACTTCCTCTTTGATATCTTTTGTTAATTCATCCTTAACTAAGGCAAAAAGACAAGGACTTGGCACAGAACCTTGGTGTACATCTACTCTGATAAGAAAATAACTTGATGTTCTATTGCAAGCTTTTACACATATAGTAGCACCATCATACATATCCTTAATTGCATCTACATATTTTGATGGTACTTTTTTCTTCTCAAGAATTCACCATAAAACTTTTCTTGGAATCCTATTATATGCTTTCTCAATATCTATAAACACCATATGTAATTCATTCTTCTTTTCTCGATATCTTTCTATTAATTGACGCTTCAAGAAAATGGCTTTGATTTACAGATCTTGGTCTCTCTCCTCAAACAATGTTCAATAACTCTATTCCACAACTTCATAGTATAACTCATAAGCTTAATGCCTTTATAATTAAAACAATTTTGAATATCTCCCTTGATTTTGTAAATAGGCATAAGCAAACTTTTCCTCAATTATCAGGCATATTATTTGTTTGACAAATCTTATTGAAAAGATTGGTCAACCATTTCCTCCATAATAATAGTAATTATAATAATAAATAAAGGGAAAAATAATTTTTCTTTTACAGGAGATAAAGTTATCTCCAGCAACCCGAAAATTATATCATTTTACGGATTGATAGAATTAATGAAGGATATTTTAATAATTTTTCTTTGTCATATGAATTTTATAAAAACACCCTTCATTAATTCTCCAACACTCAAAACGACGTAGTTTTAGGATTGTTGGAGATAATTTTATGTGGAATAATTTTCTCATTTTACATGAGAATATTTTCTCATGTTACACACACAAACATGAGTGGGGTCCACAAAAAAGTGAGAAGACAAAAAAATAAAGATGGGTCCCACCTTTTAATTGTAAAATGAGAAAATTATTTCCCTAATTTTATTTGCTATGCCAGGAGAAACGATAAAACCACAAATAAAATTATATTTATATTGTGATTTGAGACATTGAGTAGTAGCAGCAAAGGCAATGCTTGATCATCTTCCTTTAAAACCGCAAAATGCCATTTTTAAGGGGTATAAGTTTCTCCTGTTATAGGAGAAACTTTTCCCCCTCTTACTGAAACAAAAATTTGTGGGGCCCACCAATTAAAAAAAATAGTTGGCCAAATTTTTTATATTTGTGCATGAGAATATGTTTTTCTCCTATAACAGAAAAAAAAAACCTTTTTTTGAAAGGTTCTATTTCTCTCATGTTATTGGTGATAATTATCTCTTATCATAGACACATGATGTGGTGGGGCCCATCACCTATTAAAAAAAGAAAATAGTGGTGGCATAATTTTTTATATGAGAGTAGCATGAGATAGTTATCTCATGTAAAATAAGACAATAATTTTCCTTTTTTGAAATTGTGAAATAAATTCTATTTTTGGTGTGGGTTTAATCTATTTCCGACACTGGCATATTTTCGACACTTAATTAAATGTCATATGTGAGTGTCCCAAAAATGTCATATTTAGAATTACACACCGAGAAGTTAATTCTAAAAAATATCATATTTCGACACGTTGGGACATATTTTGATATTAAATAATATTTTTAATATATATAATATAATTTATATTTAATACATATAACAGCCTATAACAAGTCATATAACTAATCAAATATTCAAATTTCATAACATAAATATAAACAAAAATAATTTTTCATTCAATGTTAATTTTTCATGTAAATTTCATAATAGAAAAAAATTGATTTATAAATATATTTTTTTGTTAATAAAATAAAATTAAGAAGTTAAAAAAAAAATGTGTCGAATGCATGTCGGAGCGTTGACCGCGTGTCAGAACATGTGGTGTCCAACACGCACATTTTGCAAAAAAAAAGGGGTCCCTGCTTTGTTGGATACATGTACGAGAACCTCTCCCAATTTATTTTTTTTATTATTTTTTTCATCATCAATCATGTTCAAAATTAAAAATGGCCAACCCCTTTACTTTTTTTCTTCCTCAAAGTCAAAATTAGTCTTACCCTCTTTCTTCTTCTTCGCCTTTTTACTTTCCATAATCATGATCATAAGATGTTTCAAGTGAATTTAAAATTATAAAATAACGTTTGTTCAAATAAAATTCAATTTATTAATTGAGCCAAACCTTGTGGTTCGATGTCTATTTTGATCATGCACCTGTAAGACCAGAATCACAACCTTTCGCACTCAACTTTATACCACAAGGCCAAATGTCGTGTTATGTCACAATACCCAAACACCACGTTTTTTTTTTAAATAATTATTCTTATATATTAAATTAAAATATATTTTTAATAGTTAATCAAATTATTTGATGCATTATTTTAAAAAAATTATTTTTAATTTTTTATATTTTAATTCGATTGATAAAAGAGGGTTAACTTTTTTTAAAAACAAATTACTAAAACAGCATCTAGAAATCACTTTTATTTCTCTTTAGTAGAAAGAATAATTAAAAACAAACAAATAAAAGAGGTTCACTTATAGGTTCAATGAAAAAGAGAAGCTTAGTTTGAGTACCCCGAAAAAGAGAGAGAGAGAGAGAAGCTTAGTATTTATTAAAAGTTGAAGTTAAGTTTATAATTAATAAGGAGATAAGGTCCTCTCTCAACCTCTAGCCGAAAATTTGGGTAAGGCAATAGACAAAGTATAGCGCAAGTCACGCAATGAGTTCCAAACCAAGTCTCTTAACCTTTACTTGTCTGATAATGAAATATGTGATAGAGAAAAATTAACTAACTACAAAAAGAGTCTCTGTCTTTGACGGGAATGCACCTCTGCTACCACTGCCACTTGCTAGTTAGCTAATAGCTATGTTACTTTCGTTATGTTCTCTAATATTTTAATTTATACTTTTCTCTTCTTTTTCCTGCTAGTTATAAGATATTATTTGACTTTTTTTTATTCTTATTTCTGTTACATAATTTTAAAAACAAAAAACAATAAAAATAAAATGACATTTGTATAATTATAACTAAAACATAGCGACTTCAAATAAAAAAGAAAAAAAGACCAAACAATCCTTGTAGATTTCGCTTTTGTCAATACTTAATGTTGAATAAAGACGCTTTGCTGGAAGAAAAAATAGAAAAAAGGTACATGGCGTGCATAATTGAGCATCAAAATTAGTTTTTACGTTTTATAGTTACGTGAATTCAAAGATAAAATATGAATAACACGATAACGATCATAATTAACCAAATTCATCCATCAATATTGAATACTATATGAGCTGACTTCCTTATATTACTTTTAGAGCAGGCAAATAAACAGGGTCACCAAAACATATACTCCAAATCCAACAAAACAAACTCCAAAGTTGCATTTTCTTTTTTGGTAATGCAAATCTACTCGAAAGGGTGGAGAAGCAGTGATAGGATGGATACACATAAAGGAAAGGGCTATTTGACCATTTTGCTCCTCATTAATTAATTAATAATCATTTTGTCCCTGATTCGAAATTATCTATCAATCTGTCCCTATTTAATCGATTACTTTGAATGTTTAATCGACTAAATGATTGTTGGGAGATTTAATCGACTAAATCTTCCTACTTAATCGATTAAAATCATACTGACTTATTTTTTTTTTGTCAAATATGGAGATTTAGTCGACTAAACAGGGAAATCTCCCAACATTCATTTTTTGTCTGTTTTGGCCATTTAGTCGATTAAAAATGCAAGATAGTCGATTAAAGAGTGGCAGATTGATAAATAGTTTCGAATCAGGGGCAAAATGGTTATTAATTAATTAATAAGGGGCAAAAGGGTGAAAAAACCGGAAAAAAAAGGGTAATACAAATTTCATTAGTTTGATGAGATTGTTCCTCGTTCCAACTACAAGCATATTTGCATCAACAAGCATTCTTTCCATATCAAAATCTTGGGGCAAAGCATAGGGTCTCAATGATCAGCCTTTCAAATTCAATAACCGTAAAGAAGAAAAAGAAGAATAGCACATGGGTGGAGCTAAAATATATGGGATTCCAAATGGGAAAATACCCACCGAATAGCAGCGACGCATTTCCCAAATCTACATCTTTATCTACTGACAGCACTCAGTATATTCCACTAATACATGCAAAGGCTTCCCATTCAACCGTTCACGACCCTGTCACATATTCACAAAAATCATTCACACACGAATGCGTAACTTGACAATAAAAAACCATTTCCTGAAAAATATTTTTAGATTGAAATATTTCCATAATTTCAATACAAATAAACAAAGAAAATACAATTTTTTTTTTTTTAAAAAGTTTCTTTTTATCAAATAACAAAATAATCTTTTCACCAAAAATGTTCTGACACCAATCAGAAAATACAGAACACATTTTTCAAAAGGATATTTCGCGTAAAATAAACCCATCGTACAATCAAAATTACTAAAAAAAATCATTTCAAGAGACCCCATTAAATGCAGACGAAAATCAGAAATTGGAGTTCCTCCTATCGATATAACAATTTGATAACATGCCCTCTAATAACAAGGAATAAACAAAGGTTTATCATCTATCATTTAACATGACCACAGAAAATTTCCTACACACACAACATTTTGTGGGATCCGCAGCAAAAAAAAAAAAAAAACTTCGGCACGCAAAACGAATCTCTATAACATAACACAATCATTTTTCCTACAACATAACTCTTATAAAACCCATAAACAAAAGGAGAAGTGTGTGTCATTTTAAAACATGTAAAGTTGTGTTATTCTAAGTAAGAAAAAAAGATAGATCATGGAAGAGAGAAAATGGATAAAAGAAATAAATGTGTGGATCTTATCTCTTTGTGAGAGTGAAATGACATAAATTATATCATTTAAAAAGATAATATTTTTAGCTAGAACAAAACATAGGCAATAAAGGAATACTAGATTAAAATAAAGTAGATAAGATATGTTTAGACAACCAAATCAAAGGATAGCATCTAATGACCACGGAGATCAAAAAGTGTGGCTGCTGTCACTAATACTAAATAAAGAAAAATGTCTTGTACACTTGAAATCTCACACACTTATACCGTCAAATCAATTTGACTAATAACCTGCTTTTCTAAGGGAAAAATAGGTCCAATCAATTAACATTAATTAATAATTAACTCATCATTGGTCAATTTATAGCAGGTATAGCATTTCATGTATAAAAATAACAGTACTCACAAGTAAAACAGATGTCCTTGAGGTTCTAGAACAAAAAAAAAAAGGTAAATTGAACCTTATACATCAGTGGACGTTAATGTTAGGTATGACTGATACTTCGCATGCTAATGAGGACTCTTATTGTCGGGGTCAGCAAAAAGACAACTAAAGATTCCGCTCCCAGGTGAGTGGGCAGGAGTTCGAGGGAGCCGCCCCAGCGGGGTCCAGTGCCCCAGGCCCGTAGAGGCTAGGTATTATAGTGAGCCTCTGATTTATTGTAAATTTTTCTTTTCTTAATAGTTGGGCTTGGACTCATGAATAGTTGCTGTTAAGATTTTTTCTAATCCTATTTATATTCTCTTTATAAATCGAGTGACTTGTAACGAGTGGCGGTGAAGTGAATATAATACAGACAAGATAAACGTAACCTATATTTAGTGAACCAGAATAAATCACTGTATTTATTCTCTCGGTCTCTTTTCGTTTGCCATTTATGTGATTGTTGATTTCCAAAGAATTAACACATGCATTAAGAATACCTCTTAGAAACGACAAACCAGATATTGAAAGATGCCATAAAATATAATTCATCCCAAAGTTGAAGTAGGCTTGGAGCCAAGAGAAGGAATGGTGAATGAAAATTAAAAATAACATCAAAAGAAAACCAGATTATGCATACCTTTAATTCTGGTAATTCAATTACACATGCACACTCCACTATCTCTGCTCCCACACGTTCTGAAAGACAACCAAAAACCATAAATATAATCAAATCCCAATATGACAAAAAAAGATGATATCATAACCGAGGCATGTTTGACGTGCAATAAAAAATGGCATATAAAGGGAAGAATGCATTTATAAACTTAATCTAAAAAAGCTTATTGAGGGAAAATAGGACCCCTTGAACCTGTTGATTCATAAAATGATACTCAATAAAAACATCACTTTTGACTACTTATTTATGAAAATTATATTTATATATGGTTTGTCAAATGAATTTGCAGTACCTGAACAAAGATGAGGTAATGAGAAACCACATTTCGATTTGCTTATTTAATAATAACCGGAGTAAAGCATGAATCCTATGCGCACTTAAATGTGACCATATAATGTCAAAGGACCTCAAATATTGGCAAACTAACAATGCAATTAAGTTACCCACGAATATAACTATTCAATAACTGAGATAGAAAATTGGCATATTGCACAAGTACTTACCTAATAAGTCCATAGCTGCACCGAGTGTTCCACCAGTAGCAATCAAATCATCAACCACTAAAGCACGTTCACCAGGTTCAACAGCTCCAACATGCATCTCTAGACAGTCCCTTCCATATTCCAAAATATACTCTTGAGAAATAACTTTTCCTGGCACCAAAGCAATCTTTTGTTAACAGAAACTGAGAGAAAGTATGTAGTAGTAACAATCTAAGCAAAGCTGGAACCTTGCCAATGCCAGAACATTTTCAATAAATAATAACACATAGAATGAGCAGTGGAGATTAAAGTTATCCGCACATTGAGAGTTAGATAATAAAACAAAGCAAAAGATACAGGATGACAAATGATATTTAAGAGGCTGAATGGTTTAACCACAAGTACAAGAAGTAATTATATTTGTAGACCACTTATCAATAATTGGAACGCACACCTTAATGGGGCAAAAGTATTAATGCATGGCATTCTAATCTCATTGTTACCTTTAACATAACCACAATGGTTTCTCCATATCAGAACGATATGGTTCAAAATGGAGTCACATATTTTAGACATTACAAATTGGATAACTCTAAGCATATGTGATGTACCAACTCTTGCAAAATAAACACAAGAGATAATGAGCAACTTCAAGAACCACTTTTATCAATCTGTTACACATGATAGGCAGGTGGATGTAACGATGATGAATCAACTGAGGAATGTTAATAAAATTAGAGGAAAAGCAATAAAATACAGCATAAGTACTACTTCGTAAAACAAGACACGATGAACAAACAAGAAATGAAAAACTCCGATGAGCATATATAATGCATGACAGTATACAGTCAGCATAATTATGAGAGGAAAACCACCTTAAAATGAAAGATCCAAACATACCAGGCAATTTTTTTGGTTTCCTCAATGGTACAAACTTTGCTCCTATTGCCAGTGCAATGGGAGGACCAAAAATAAAACCTCGAGCTTCAATTCCTGCAAAACAGAAGGAATTTATTTTTAAGAACACAAGACAGTGGACAAATATTACATGTGTTATTGCAGGTGACTCTAGTTCAACACCATCAACAAACTGTCTATTAGAGCTACTACCAACCAACTAAACATGACTGAAAGGATCAGATGATTATTCCTTCTTGTTTTATTCTTGCATCATAAAATGTTCTGTTGACCATTGATTGTAGAATGGCACAATATGTACAAGAATTCGGTAAAGGGGAATTTTAAATAACAGTGCCATAAGATTGTAAGCAAGTTTTCCAATTTGTCATCAAATAAAGGAGGCGGACAAGGAATGTAAATTAGCAATGGCTAAGACACCAAACTATTTTGGCCATAAATATTGTCAAGTAGCTTGACCCATAATAACTCAAAACAATAATATGAATTTGATATCTATAATCAGTACCAAACAGTAAAACATCCAAACATAGCAAATGCGATGATGCCAAAAAAAAGGACCTATCAATTATTCAAAATGTGAGTGGAATATTAGACCCTTATTACAATTACTCAATTGTGTTTTACTAACAAGCAATTTCAACAAACAGGGGTAGCAAAATCAGTAGGCAGTAGTCAGCAAAAATGCCCAATTGATAATATAGACTACATTTTTTTTTTTTTTTTTGGTGAGGGTAATATAGACTACTTATTCTACACAATTGAAATCCTAAATTTAATCTAGACTAATTAAAGATAAATTTCGAGGATGGTCTCACAAAAACAATATACCGTTTAACGGAAAAAATCCACATACACAAAGCGACCAAAATGGACATGCATGAAGACCAAAAAGAAAAAACAAATTTTGTGATCTGGTTCATTTTCTACTCAGAAATAAAACAAAAAAATGTGAACAACAATTTAAGTGGAAGGTTATCTTTAAAATAGCACAATTCGCATCAACACCCAAAGTATTGCATTAGACATTAAATCTATGACTTCCATGACATATCCTCCGGAACATAAAATTAAATAAAAATAAAAAATTAAAGCACATCAGCACATGTTGGACCACAAATATAAAAATAAAAGCAGAAACAAAATTAGAAGAAGACAAAAAAAAAAAATTTGAAAGAGCACACTGCAATAATACTGATAGTTCATCATTTGCAGACTGTAGTGACATCCACATTTAAACATAGGATTAAGAATTTGCAACACAAGTTGACCATAAAAGAATTTGGAACACAAGAAAAAGACAAGGGAAAGAACAATTGAGGAATTGGAGCTCCAAGTCACCCAACTGTAACATGGATATGGAGGAACCCACCCACAAATATAGTGGAACCAAACAAAATCGGCCCAATCGAAACTCACGTCATACGGGTCCACTTTCCACTAGTTGGAATCAATCACCATGCAAATTGGATCCAAGCACATTTCCACGAGTACAGAAAGGAAAGAGAGGGCCGCTGAAGAAAACTTCAGAAAGCGCCCACCAAAAACAATGAAAAAGAAAGAAAGAAAACTTCATTCCCATTTCAGAAAACAATCAATGGCACAATCCACTAACCAAAACTCATAGTCAAACGAAAAATCACTCCCAAAACTCACAGTCACTTCCATTCCACAATGCCCCATGAAAGCATTCAAAAAGCCAACTAGAAACTTATGCAATATAGAGCATCCCTGCATTTTTCTGGCCAACCTTCTCATTAGCATGGACCCCACCACCTTGAAAATGATAACTCATAACACAAGTCCAGGTTTTTTTTTTTTTTTTTTTCTTTTTAACTGAAAAAAGAAGGCTTCAAATAAAGTTGTTCATTCAGGTTTCACCACTTTTTTCCCCCAAAAGACCAACATATCCCCCCCTTCATACCTGCAACAATAGAAATATTTTTGCCTTTGTATCGTTCAACGAACAAATCTACTGTGTCCTTAAAAGCTTTGGGATCGAGCAACAAAGTAGTAATATCTTGGAACATAATACCTGTCAATGCAACAAAACAATTAGATTGGCAAGCAAACTGAGAAAAAACACGAAGAAATCAGAAAACAGATAATCCCCTTTTCCTCGAAGGCAAGAAAGTTTAGAAATTTAAAAACAAAAAGCTCAAACAAAATAAGAATTCAAAGCCCCATGCGTACAGCGGTGGTTTCTTAGTCCAACGACAAAAAAAAGAGGAAAAAATAAATCATAGAGTTACAAAGAAATAAAGTATGGGCGTAAATTGTGAACACCATTATCCTTTGGGTGTTCCTAGTTCCAAGCAACATATAGTATCTAATTCATGAACAAAAAAGGCACCTGTCCACCTACGTTTCTCAAGTTTTCATGAGGAACTAGTAAGGAAACGCAGAAACCAGAACAAAAACAGGGCAGAATAAACTGAAGAAGATGAGATTAAAAAAGAGAAGAATTTTCACCCAAAAAAAGAAAGAAAGAAAGAAGAAGCAGCAGCAGAGAACAAAGGACAACAACAAACCAGGTTTGGGGAAATTCGGAACAACACGAATCTTAGTTTTGATGCCATTAAGACGGGGATCCTCGTCTCTGTAAGCCGACATTGTATATATGATTCGTGACAGAGAAATTGCAAATAAAAAAAAAAAACAAATAAAAGAAAGAAGAGCTTCCTTTGTGGCTACTAAACTAGAATTGAGTTGAGTACAAAGGCAAAGTGAGAGTGACAGAGAAGAACAGAAGACGATTTATCCAGGGGAATATTTATAGAATGTGTATAGTATAGGTGGGCGCGTGTGTCGGAAGAAGGGAAATGGTTACGCACACGTTAAATTAAAGATGAGATGATTATGTATGTAACGTTGTAATTACATATTTTAATATTCTTTATTTTTCTTTTATTATTATTAATTCATTTTTATATTGTTACGATTTCCTCGTATAATTATATGGAAAGAAGTGTCATTTTATGCCTCCTTATTTTGGTTCAGTTACAAAATTTAAACTTCTCTTATGAAGTAAGAAGTTTAAAGTCTATAATTATATTATATTTCTTTTAACACGAGAGCGAAGAAGAGATGAGTTCATACTCTGATCAATGTATCCTTGGAGTACGGTTTTAAGGCTATCTCTTGTTAAAACAATAAATGCATTGAGCTTCGTTACATAAGAATGATAAGACTAATCCTTTCATACGAGGAGAGAAGCACGTTCTCCGGCCTTCCAATTTTTTTTTAAGAATTTGCTTTGAACCTTGACTCAAACAAATTCTTGAAAACTCAGTTACCAACTGAGACACATTTGGAGATTTCACATACATGTTTTAATTTCTAAAACCTACTCATGCTTATTGTGTGTTTGAAACAAATCCGATGCAGAATTAAAGTAAAAATAAGTAGACATTTGTTGTATTAGTTTTTTTTTTCAAATAATATAATTTAATACAGTTCTAAAATTTCATGTTTAATTGACTATTGACTATTTTTCAAATATATATTTGTAATAAAATTGCACGTACGTGTTTTAATTTCTAAAAACTACTCATGCAGTCATGCTCATTGTGTGTTTGAAACAAATCCGAGCAGAATTAAAGTAAAAATAAGTAGACATTTGTTGTATTAGTTTTTTTTCAAATAATATAATTTAATACGGTTCTGAAATTTCAAGTTTAATTGACTATTTTTTTTTGGTACATTGACTATTTTCTATAAATGTCAAATCAAACGTGCTCACATCTGTTAATTGTTTTAGAAGACAAAGTTCTATAAATAATTAAAAAATGTCGTAAGTTATATAAAAGCACAGTAAAAGATATTACTTTTTAAAATAATCAAAATGCAAATTATATTATAATTGACTAGTGTTTAAACAGTAGTATAAATGACCTATCTAGAGTTTTTTTCTTTCTAAAAACAAAAAATAACACATTATAATATTGTTGAAATGCGTATCTAGGAGTTCATTTTCGGTACACTGGAAATACATATTCCATTATCAAAAATAAAAAAATATAGGATATAAATGAAAATTAATAATAAAGGAACATTAAAATAAAAATAAGGAGAAATTTATATTTACTAATTTCTTATTAGGTAAACAACTTCTACTTTCAAAGAAGAAGTTTTTTTGGTGCAGCACTAGCATCTCACAAGTAGGGGTGTAAATGGGCTGGGCTGGGCTGGGCTTTGGCCATCCTGGCCCAAGCTTACGTCAAAAAAAATTCAGCCTATCTGGCCTACTGGCCTATTAAAGGCTTTATTTGTAGGCCAAGCTCGGCCCATTTTCAAAAATAAGAAAGTCCGACATGGCCTACAGGCCTTGTAGGCCACTATATATACTAAGCAAAAAAAATAATTGTATAGAGCAAAGAAAGCTCCATTCATGCATGCACTAATACTTCTCATAAGAAAAAAATGACAAACAAGAAAGAGTCAACATACTACCTCAGCTCTAGAATGTATATCATAGAGGAATAGAGTCAAAGAAATGGGAAAAATATGAAAAATACAATTACTGGATGCTGAAATAAAGTCTACAAGAGAATGTCATTCATTTAAAAATCTTTAAATCACCATCAAGATAAGGGAAAGAAGAGTATTATTGAAAGATTTTCATCAGCAACATCATAATCCAGTAAGGTACCCATTGCTCTATGGTATTAAGCTGCAACAGCATGTAAAATTTGGAGACATTAGACAAGTTTTCCTTTCATAGAATAAAATAGCACAAAAAGTAAGAGATATTAGTATTTGGTACTTTGTGTCTTTGCCACATAAAATAAATATTATTTTATTATTTTATTTTAATAAATTAAATAGGCCAGCCTACAAGGCTGTAGGCCGGGCTTGACAAAATTGGCCTATGGCCTATTTATTAAAAAATCTTTTTTATAAGCCTAAGCCTACTCTATTTTTCTGAAAGGCCGGGCCTGGGCTGGGCTCAATGTAGGCCGGGCCTGGACTGGGCTCAATGTAGGCCGGGCCGTAGGCTGGGCTGGGCCAGCCTGGCCCATTTACACCCCTACTCACAAGCATTGAAATGTGTGATATATTTTTTGTTTTATTTTTTTCAAAGCAATCAATGGATCCCACCAAAATACTCTCTCAGCGGTAAAAAAATAACTTCTCCCTTGAAAGGAAAAGTTGTTTACCTATTTTTATTTACAAACTACACTGTATTTTATTGATAAGATATTTTTAAATAAAATTTTACCGATAAGATATAATGTAATTCGTAAGTTTGTAAAAAAAAAATTATTAATATAATTTTTTTCTAAAAGTATTACTTTCTGTTATATTTAATAATAAGTTATATCGAATATTCGCTAGGATCGAAAATATTTTCCGTATCTAGAGTCCTGATAGTGATATGTAGATTATATCGATATGGCGCGAAAAAACTAGACAATCTTATACAGAGAAACCATGCTTTAATGGTTAGGAGTGTAGTTTCGTCTGACCGGGATTGAGGTTGTGGTTGTGGTATATCGAAGTACTAAAATATTTTCCTGTGTGTCAAACGGGGTTGGACAGAGGTCAGGCGGTCTTGTGTATCTTCGGTTTATTCTAACTTGAAAAGCTGCTCATTTCTGTTTCATTTTGTCCGTGTTTTCAAGATTCTACCGCACCTTATTTTTCAGTCAACTTACACTTTATCTTAATCGGTTGATTTTGCTTCCTGCAAGTGTGATTGAAATATGTTCAGAGATGGATGGATTTAGCTGCTACTTTGAATTTTGTCTTTTTTGTACATGTCTGAGGTGCTTGAATATGTGATGTGATGGGTGAAAGGTGGTGGTGATTCGCCTATATATAGAGCGCTCAAATCAAAATGTACAAGTGATAGAGTAATGCAAAAGGATAATATCCCATGAGCCTCGGAGAGATATATTTTTTTATCTATTTTTATTTTTTTTAGAAATATTTTAATCAGTTCATTGTTTTGTAACTAATTCGATTAAGGGCGGGTTTAGAATTAAGGCTTTAAATCCCTCCAAAGGTGATACTGAGAAGATTCAAATCATACTCTCACCCTCACTGCTTAGCTCCCATGTGCCAACTGAACTACCACCATTTAGTTATATATGAGATTTATTAATCTCATGCAACAGAGACAAGATAGTGAGGTTCATCATTTGTAAAAAAAATAAAAAATAATATGAACGCCACTATTTTGTCTCTGTTGCATGAGATAATTATCTCATCCAACATGAGATAATTACTTCCATATATATATATATATATATATATATATATATATATATATATATAGGATTTATTATTCTTATGTGACATAAGATAGAATGTATCTCCTACACATACAAATTCAAGATGAATTCCACTTTATTTTTCCTCTCTCTTTCCCTGAAAGTGGACCCTACCTGAACAAATGAGTTTGTAGGAGATAAACTCTTCTAAACTATATTTTGTATTCTCGTAAATATATTATGTTATACTATGTATTTTTGAGAGTATATATATAGGGGTTTACATTTCTGTAGCTGCTGTACGTGCAGGAATCAAATACTTGCCATATATATACTTGAAAGCATTAAATGCGGGGAATTATAACCATATAAAGGATAAAAGTATTAAATGTGAGAAATCATAACTATACACCTGTCGTTGCTGTAAGTAAAACGACTGCGAAAATGATTTACCATATATATATATATGGGTTTTATAAGAGTTATATTGTAGGAAAAGTGATTGTGTAATGTTATAGAGATTTGTTTTGCGTGCCATAATTTTTTCTTTTTCTTTTTTCTTCAAAAAGTGTGGGTCCCACAAAATGTTGTGTGTGTAGGAAAGTTTGTTGTGTCATGTTGAATGACAAATGCAAACCCCTATATATAAATATATATAGGCAAAATGATTTGTAATGTGACTCTATATAAGCATTGGTGCAGTCATATAAAACTACGTCGTTTTATAGTATAAAAATATTAAATATAGGAAATCATAATCATACAATGGTGAAAATAAATATTAAATATTAAATATTAAATATTAAATATTGAGAATTATAACCATACAAAAGTGGAAATAAATATAGGGTTCACTTTTTCTGCAGTTACTGCAGATAAGTTATCTGCATTAAGCCAATACGACGCCGTTTTGGGACGGAAATCATGGTATTTTTGTAATTTTAATTTATTTCAGGGTTATAATAGTCTTTATATTTATATTTTTTTAAGATTTCAATACCAAAACGACGTCGTTTTGGGAATAAATGCAGATAACTTATCTGCATTAACTGTGGAAATATTTTCCCCATAGATATAATATTTTTATTTTCTGCAATTAATTTTGAACGTTAACTTATCCCACCTAAAACGACGTAGTTTCTAAGTGACTGCACAAATTCTTATATACAGTCACGTTACAAATCATTTTACCTATATATATATATATATATATACACACACACTGGCGGACCCACGTTGGGTCACATGTCCGCAAGTGCGGACATGTGATTTTGGATTTTTTTTTTTTTTTAGTTATGTAAGTTATTATTTGTCTCTTGGTTCAATATTTATAGTAGGAATAAATATCATTTTAAATTCCTAACAAAAAATATGGTCTCCATTTTAGTCCCTTATCAAAAATTAGTCTCGAAGAGGTCCCTAAAAAATTTAAAGTGGATTAATTTAATTAAAATCATGGTCCCTCACAAATTCAAAAAAGACTTACATT